GAGCAGCTGGGACTGCAACAGCTGGACACAGAGCAGCTGGGATGGCACAGCTGAGGCGGCAGTGGCTGGTCACACAACAGCTAGGTCTGCAGCCACTGGAGATACAGCATCTGGGGTGACAACAGCTGGACACGCAACAGCAGCTGGACACACAGCAACTGGGCTGGCAGTGGGTGGTCCTGCAGTAGCTAGGCTGGCATCAGGTGCTCCTGCAGCTGTGGGGCTGGCAGCAGCCTTGGCCACATCCTTGTTCAGAGCAGTTCACATCAGTTCAGAGCAGACTGAGCCACAATAGGAGCTGACCATGGTGTCAGAGGCTGGAGGTTTGGCCTGTGTATCCAAGACAGTGAGTTTTCTGAATTTGGGAGTCTCTTTTATACCTTTTATCCCCTGTAAAGAGACATCTTTATTGTTGAATGGTGTTAACAGATAAGAAGCTACAAAATTTGGTAATTATACAAGTTTTCTTTCAAATTTGATGTTTCCAAATCAACTCCTGTCCCTTCCTTGTGTGCATCATATAATTTTAAATCTACAGCTTTCTCTCCCAGTTGGCAGTGTGGAAACAACAATTTGTGACTGGCTGTGACTATAGTTCTCCTTCACCCGCAGCTCAGTTTAGCTAGACACACACCGCAAGATCCATGCTATAGGACACACAGCAAATTGGAAGACAATAGCAGAAATTAATGAAGCGAAATAATTCCTGTTGTAGAATTATGGAGCATAGGTTTTCAAAGAGGAAGAACATGGCTCTGGGAGCATGCTGTGGGGTTAGGGAGTTGGGAAAAAGAATTCAACACAACATATACTGGCATATTTCCTTCCAACACTAGCTTGTTGGATGGATGGGATCACCCTATGAATCAAAGGTGAATGAGTCAAAGCTCATTTTTCTGAAATAGCCAACAGACAAAGAACATTCAGCCGTACAATATTGGCAGCCTGTATTTTAAAAAAAAATATGTCCAAGTTGTTCTGGGAGAAGCTTAGGAAAGGTAATGACCTTCTCTTCTGATTCCCTGCCTACTCAAGTCCACCAGTAAGAATATATTCTAAATCCAATTATGTCTGATATTCTGTTTTCTCAAAGAGATGAAATAGGAGTTGGTCTTACAATCACTTTGCTCATCACAGACAAATGCTGACAGTTATGCGTTTGGTTACAAGTTCTGATAATTAAGCATCTCAGAGGCAGAAATACAACAGCCTTTCTAGCCTCAACTCCCTACCCCTCAGCCACAAGCCAGGTGGCTTCCCATTCTTAGTGGTTTTCCGCTGGATCTGCCCCTTCGGCTCTAAATGCCTACCACAACGCTAGCTCTACCTGTTGGTCCTCCTCAGTTGCAATCATTGCCATTGGAGACAGTCTCAAGTTTTTTTTTACTAGTCCTTTCCTTACGATAACTTTAGTCTATTGACTTTTTGTTTTAATCAAGTATGGTTTTTTGGTAGAAGTAGCTTCAGACAGACAAAGCAAAGCCAGGGACTTGGCTTCGGGAGGTACTTTGTTTGTTCACCTGGGTCTGATCAAGCCCAGCTGAGTTTTCACGGATTTTACAGGCTCTAAGACGATCGCAAAAGTTCACACTCCGAGTACAACTTTCAAACACAACCCAAGTTCTTCTTTCTTGTGAACTTTCAATTGTTTTTTTTTGGTACACTTTGTTTCTTTTTCTGTGTGCATGTTTGTGTGGAGGGTGTACACACGTGTCACTGCATGTGTATGGAGGTCAGAGGACAGCTTGTGAGTGTCAGTTATCTCCTTCCTCTTCCTCCCTTCCACTATGTGGTCCTGAGTTTGGCAGCAAGCACTTTTACCCCTTGAGTCACCTCCATGGTTCATTCATGCGACTTTTTCCTTGCCTGTTTTTTTTTTTTTTTTTTTGGAAAAGTGGTCATTTAATTACCTCCTGTGAACTTCATGCAACTGCTTTTTATGTGTAGGAAAATAACATCCACGGTGACATCTCCAAGAGATGACATTTATTTTTGGCAGTAACTATTGATTTAATTTATCAGTGTGAGTTGCATGCAAGCAACTTTCTAAGACAAATACTCATAAAAGCTGCAGTCGTCCAGTCTAGCTTCTGGAGCTCCAAGTTAGACATCATACACAGAAGCATATGAAGAAAGGGCGAGCCCAGCCCCTGAGGGGGTTTTTAGGCTGTGGGAAAATGACTCATTCTATGTGACAGTAAACATTTCTCAAGCCGCCGTTTTCACCTGTACCTCTGAAATGCACTGCACTTCTGCGCATTTTCCTCACTGGCCCTGTTAACTGGTGGTTTCCCTCCCACCAGCCAGATCCCAAAGAACCACTCAGAGGCTTAATTTTAATTACAAACCGTTTGACATATTAGCTCAGGCTTGTTATTAACTATCTCTTACAACTTAAATGAACCCATTTTTGTTCATCTATGTATTAACACGTGGCCATGGCATTGCCTCACATCTTGCTTCTTTGGCAGCTGCAGGCATCTCCCCGACTCCACCTTCTCTTTCCCTGTCTCTCTGCTTGGATTTCTCACCTAGCTATGGACCTGAGGAGTCCATAGCTCTTCCATGGACCAAAGGAAGGCAGGACCGTGAGGAGTGCGTTCACCCATTGATACAAGGGAACTGATCTAATGAGAGTTCACCAAGGCCAGCTGGACTGGGACTGAACGAGCACGTGATCAAACCGGATTCTCTGAATGTGGCTGGCACGGGGACTGTCTGAGAAGCCATTGATAATGGCACTGGGACTTATTTCCTCTGCATGTACTGGCTTTTTGGGATCCTAGTCTGTTTGGATGCTCACCTTCCTAGACCTGGAGGGAGGAGGGAGGAACTTGAATTTCCCACAGGGCAGGAAACCCTGACTGTTCTTAGGGCTGGAGAGGGAGGAGGAGAGGGAGTGGGAGGAGTGGGAGGGTATTGGGAGGAGGGACGGAAGTGGAAAGTTTTATAAATTAATAAAAAAAAGAATAATTTTCATTTCTTTGAGGCCAGTGGCTTCAATGGACAAAGTAACATGAGGTCAGCGAGTTGCTATCAGTCCAGGCAAGGGCAGAGGGGCTTTGATGTGGGATGGCCTTCTGTATGCTATGAATATGTTTCATTATGATTGGTTAATAAAAAGCTGCTTTGATCCTTGCCTGTTTTTAAATCTCGTCCCTAAACCCCTCCTGGAGTTATCACTCATCTGCCTGCATGCCACCTCTGACTGAGAGTTCCTCATCTGCTTATGATTTATCTTAGCACAATGTCATTGCTGTGAAGGCCTTTGGGGAGTGAGCAACATAGTTCATTTCCTGCCATATCTCTCCCCATATTCACTGATCTCTTGCCTCATTTTACTCCTTTCATTTTAACAATGTAAACAACCTCGGGTGCAGCCTCCTCCTCTTCCTCCACCTTCTCTTCTGCCTTGGGACCTGTATAATTCCCTAGCATTTACTAGCTTTTTAACTCACTTTGTTTATAATTTTATACAATGCTTCCATATTTCCCTCTGGAACCGAAGTTTTCACCATTATATCCTATCTATTTGGCCCTTCCTTTTATTCCTAAGTCTTTATTTTGAAGACTAAATTGTGAGTTTCTTTTGGAAACTGTTGGTCTTCATGTGCCTCATTAGTCTCAAAGTCCAATGACCCTGTGAGTCTGCCAATCATCTTATGGATTGAAAAGGAAAGTTACTGTTAATTAAATAAGGTAGTTCACGTGATTCTGAAATATAGTCCATTTTATAATATGAAGAGTATATTATATGTGCAGAATCAGTTTTCTTTTCTGATTTTGAGCTGACATACAAAATTGTATATATTTATGGGGTACTATGTGACACTTCTATGTGCATATGTGATACTGTTTAAATCTGAGTTAATATATTTGCATCCTCAAATACATATTATTTCTGGCTGGTGAAAATATTCAGTATCCTTTGTTCTAGCCATTTTGAAATATAAACTATTTACCATCTGTGGCAACTTTCCTATGCAATTGAACACTGTAACTATTTCATTTTTCAGGTTCTATTTATTTATTTATTCTATCTATATGTGTTTTGCTTACATGTTTGTTAGTCTACGATGCACATGCCTGGTGCCTGTGGAGGCCACAAGAGAGTGCTGGACCATCCATTATGAGCTGTCATGTGGATTCTGGGACTCAAACCCAGGTACTCTGAGAGAGAAGCCAGACCTCTTAAACACTGAGTCATCTCTCTGGCACCAGAACAATCTTTTCCATCTAATTGTTTTACATCATGTGAACCACGTATTCTTCACTTGTGTCTCCCTATTCTTCCCAGAATCTCAGAACCACTTTTCTACTCTCAGCATCTTGTTTTTTTTTTTTTTTAAGGTTCTACATTTGAGTGACATCATGTGTGTTTTCTTTCTATATCTGACTGATTTCACTTAACATCTTCCAGTTCTAACCATGGTGTCATAAATTACAAGAGTCCACCTGTTTTATGAGTAAGCAGCATTCCATTGTGTATAAGGCATTTTGTTTGCCACTCATCAGTTGATTGACACAGCTAATTCTGCTTCCCAGCCAATGTGAATAATGCTGCAATAAATGTGAGACCACGCATACCTCTAACATACTATCTAGACTAGTTTTCTGCCTGGCCATGGTAACCCAAACATCTTTCCACCTTGGAAGGAATAATACTAGAAAACTAAACTATTAATTCTCTTAAAATAAATGAAAGAAGATATATATGCATCTAACATAAGGCAGTATTTATTGAAGAATAGTCAACACAGAATGGTGAGGTCCAAGAAAGTTGGAGACCCGAAGGATACGTTTAGCTGTACCATGCATCTGAGACATGCATGTAGAGGGAAGATCCTTGGGAAATATAGGCAGTGCTTAATGTAGGATTCTCTTCTGCCAGTTTCTTAGTGTTGTCAGGACAACAAACGTAGGAATTATTTAATACATGGATGAGAAGTTCAGCTCACTGTCATTATGGCTGCCTGGGGATTGGTATTCAAATCAGAAATTCAACAAGAGGGGCGACAGCAAGTTGTACTACAGCAGGTGGTCTGGCAGCAGACTGGGCGGCTGCAGCTGGACACTCCACAGCTGGGGCGACAGGTGGTCTGGCAGCAGACTGGGCGGCTGCAGCTGGACACTCCACAGCTGGGGCGACAGGTGGTCTGGCAGCAGACTGGGCGGCTGCAGCTGGACACTCCACAGCTGGGACGGCAGGTGGTCTGGCAGCAGATAGGGCGGCTGCAGCTGGACACTCCACAGCTGGGACGGCAGGTGGTCTGGCAGCAGACTGGGCGGCTGCAGCTGGACACTCCACAGCTGGGACGGCAAGTGGTCTGGCAGCAGATAGGGCGGCTACAGCTGGACACTCCACAGCTGGGACGGCAGGTGGTCTGGCAGCAGATAGGGCGGCTACAGCTGGACACTCCACAGCTGGGACGGCAGGTGGTCTGACAGCACACTGGGCGGCAACAGCTGGATACTCCACAGCTGGGACGGCAGGTGGTCTGGCAGCAGACTGGGCGACAGCAGGTGGTCTGGCAACAGGTGGGCTGGCAGCAGCTGGGCTGGCAGCAGCTCTCCTGGCAGGGACTTTGGTCACAGCCCTGCTCAGAGCAGACAGAACCACAACAGGAGTTGACCATGGTATGAGAGGTGGAGGTTCTGAGAGGTTTTGAACAGAGGGAGTTTCTCAAGTATGTGAGCCTCCTCATTCCCTGTCCTCTTTTATACCCTGATGCTGTTACCAGGCTAAGGGTCATTTCCTTGTTATTGTTTCTCTTAATACATAAACAGTCACTAAATTAGTTAATTGTGGACGACTCTATGTAAAAGTTAAATGGAATGCATTCTTTTCTTTCTCAGGGTCAGGGTTTATCAAATCAGTCTTTCCTCCTGAGTCATTTCTTCTGTTTCCTTATGTGTATCATCAAATTTTAAAAATTCCTAGTTTGATTCAATTGATTGATAGTCATGAGATGACATAGCATACAACAATTCATGTGCCATCATGGAGCCTCATACCAGTCCTGTGGTGGATCTGTGTCTCTTATATCCTAAAACTCTTGAAAAGTAAACTGTGAAAGTACTAGAAGAAAGTTTGACCATTGAAGTTTGGATGAAGGTTATGAAAAGATAAAATGAATTTGTCACATGGGCGTGAGACCATTCCATATTAATATTTCCCAAGAAGGGAATATGGAATGTCAATAAATGTGGGAAGAAACACAGGAATGCCTGAGATGTTCCTCAATTTCTAGAGAATAGTTAGGGTAAATGATGTTCACATACCTCAGACTTTTTTTATGAAGACAAATAATGTTATTGCATTTTATACAACCTTGAATATGCCGGGCTAAGAAGCCAAACTGTAAACTTATAACTCTGTATTATTATAGTTATTGTATTGTTTGCATTATTGTGTTGTAACATTACTTTGTTTTATTACAAAGGAGCTGTAATAATGAAAAAAGCAAAATGCATTTAAGTCCTTGGCTGCCTTGAGTCGCTAGTTTCCCCATTCAGTTCTTACGGTAATTCTTGGTAATGCTGTCTAATTTCACTGTATTTGGATGGATGAAAAGCTGCATATTATTCCTACTGTTGAGATATTCGTTGTAATCTGATGTCATTTATAAATAGTCTAAATATATATGAAAACTATGGAGGTGCAATTTGTTAAGCCCAAGATGGGGTAGATGGTAGATAAGTAGATACTGCATCTAAGTTGAAAGTGTTTCTATTCAAATTTTCTATATCTTTAGTCTTTATCTTCAAATGATCGTTTGTACAAAAAGAAAAAAAAACTTTATAAAAGTGTGAGTCTAGGTTGCCATTTTATCATTTCCCCATGTATTTATGATAGTTATATTGAACATAGGTCAAGTGCTTATAAAAACAGGAGAGCTGACCTTTTAGAGAAGTGAAAATGTATTGCAAGGAAGTCACTATCAAGGTCAAAGCAGGTGCATGCATGCTTACTTGAGCTAATTGAACCTAATGCCATGACCACTTATTTTTTTGAAGAGAACCAGCCCTCTGTGTGCAAAGGGGAAATAACTCTTCCACCTTTGGGTAATAATTCCTTTTATTAAAATATAAATATTTATCTGCCATCTAATTTTCTTTCAGTTTGTCTTGGATTCTACAGATGTGTGTAAATTCATGAAAAATTTAAGACTTAATAGCTCAAGGTACCTATTATGATATAAATGTTATATACAAGTTATTTTCTTTGTCCATGTGACAGCAATCCAAACCTTTCTCCAAATAAATTGGCGGTCAGATATGCTTAATGGCCACAAATATTTATAATATTAAGAGAGTAGGTATTTATTGAGACACAGTCACATGACTCTAAAAAGTCCAAGGCATGCCCAGGATGATAACATGACAACAAACTTGGTCAATAAAGTCACATGAAACCTCTGGTCATCTATCAGAATGTGGCAGAATGAGACGGGGAATTTACTACTTAATTGTTGGATAGTTTAAATAGTTGCTCACAAAAATTCTTAGTCCAGATATGGTGGCGCATTCCTAGATTAGCACATAGGAATTGGAGGCAGGAACATCAGGAGTTCAAAGCCAGCCTCAGTGAAGTAGAGAGTTTAAGGCTAGCCTAGAATACATGAGACATTGTCTCCATTAACAAAACCAGAATAAAATAAAGGAGATTTGATGGCATGACCAACTGAGTGATAGATATAATGACATATCTATATCTATATAGATATAGTGATGGCTCAGTACAAGCACAGGTGTAGTGGAGAGAACATGAGGCTGGCACACTGGCAACGTAATAGTAACCCAGAACTGATGGGCAACAACAACAAGAATTTGGGTGACAGCAAGCAGTCTAACAATAGGTGTCCTGCCAATGTCAGGGGTAGCACAGAATTCCTAGTCGAGGTTTCGATTACACACAGTCTTAGTCAAAGTAAGTGAAGCTAGAGGAGATGACTATGGTGTCCTGGGTGGAGGTTCTGTGTGACTCTTCAGAAACATAAGATTGCTCAGAGTGGGAGTCTGTATCCTGCTCCTAAGCTAGCATCATTGTGTTTGTAATTGTATTCTGACTATGACCTTTCCAGACATTCTGGTCTTGACATGTTGTCTATGCCATTATATTTGCTTTTTAAAGGGATGTTTGCATGATTTTCATTGAACCAACTCCTCACCTCTAGAAGCATGCGGCCCTTTTAAATGGCAGTATCCTTTCATCCAGGGCCTCTTGTACTTTTCTGGGTGTGTCTCATTACTGTACTGAGCATAGTATGCGTTGTTCCTCTTCCTCCAACCATTTAACTCTCTGTTCCTAAATGAGACAGGGAGCCATAATCTCTCCAGTTTGGATGCTATTTAAAATAGGTACAAAAATGGATACATCATACACAAAAGTCAGGCTTCAGTATATAATAGCAAAGTGACTGGTACAAAAATATCAGTATGGTACATTTGTAAATTATGAAGAAATTAAGAAATAAGACTGTTGGGAAGCATATTATTTCACATTTAGCCTTCGAAACATTCATTTTGTTTCTTTTCCATACCAATTTCAATTACCAATTTTCAATTACCAATTTTCAATTCATCTGCCCTACTATAAATTGCAGTTGGTGCAACTTTTCAAGCTAATAAACCATAATTCTCCTTTATTGTATGCTGGAAATCAGTACCTGAAAGACCTAATAGAGAAGATGCAGGAGAGGAGAAACTTGCCTCCCCTCAGAAGCCCTGCCTCCATGCAAGTCACCAGGACCCACACCTGCTGTTCCTGGACTGCAAAGCCCACTGCTGTGGAACAACCCACTGGAAACCAGCCTGTGTGGCCAGTGACTGCAGTACACCCTGTGGTCAGGCTCCCAGACTCCATCCTAGATCCTCCTGCAACTCTTGCTGGCTGGGCAACCACTGCCGACCTGCCTGCTGGCTGCAGTCTTCCACTGCTATAACTGCTATGAACCATTCACGTCCCAGCAGCAAACCTACTCCCTAAGCGCTGCTGAGAACAGTGCGCTTTCACTTTCTTTCTACAGTACGTGAAAGACCACCGAGGGAGGCGCTCTGCTTCACCCTGGGTTTAACCTTCATTGTCCGTTGACCAGCCGAACACATGTTGATCAGCTCCACGATCTGGGCCCCGAGAAAGTCGGGATCTGCTTTTGTCTCTACAGAACTTTAAAAATGGGCTGCATTTGACTCTCTAGAATAATCAATTTCAGAGTTGTTTTAGTGTGCACGCCGTATGGTCAGCAAGCTCTGCCAAGTTTCCAGTGAACGCTTTTCAAATCATTGTAATTGTTTTCCTACCTAGTATTTTTATACTAAAATTTGTATTATTTTGTACTATGTGGGAAACTTTTGCCTTGTTAACTATTCACAGCAGTTCATTCATAAAGATTTACCTCAATTTTAAAAAATTTATGATTTTTAAATTTCTTTATTTACATGTATGTGTGTATATTATGGCATGTATATCTCCCCAGCTACACCATTCCACGACCCTTTTTCTCCCTCTCTCTCTCCCCTCCCATTAGTCCCCTTTGTTCCCCTAGACTATTTCAGGTCATGTTTTATGACTATATAAAGTCTAGGAACCACAAGTAAGAGAAAACACAAAATCTTCTTTCCGAAACTGCCTTAAATTGTTTGATATGATTATCTACAGTTAAATCCATTTTTTGACGAATGACATAGCTTTGATCTCCTTTACAGCTGAAAATAATTTCGTCATGTACATATTCCACATTTTCCTGACCTTTTTCTCTGTTGGTGGACTGCTAAGGTTGGTTCCATAACTCAGCTGTTGTGAGCAGTCCTACATGAACACATGTGCAAGTGTCCCTGTGCCACATGGACTTGATGTCCTGAAGGTAAGTGCTCAGGTCACGTGATAGATCTTGTTAGCTGAATTTTACGTGTATCAGGTTTTCTTTTTAAAGTAATTTTATTAAATTATAAAAGTTTCCATTTCCGCCCCTCCTCCCACCACCCTCCCACTCCCCCCACTCCCTCTCCTCCTCCCTCTCCATCCCTAAGAGCAGTCAGGGTTTCCTGCCCTGTGGGAAGTTCAAGTTCCTCCCCCCTCCCTCCAGGTCCAGGAAGGTGAGTGTCCAGACAGACTGGATCCGCAAAATCCAGTATATGCAGAGGAAACAAGTCCCAGTGCCATTGTCAATGGCTTTTCAGAAAGACTCCGGGCCCGCCACATTCATAATTAAAGGTCTTTGAGCCTATTATTCGGGATCCTAGAGAAGCTAAATAAGAAGGTGAACCTGATGAAAATCATGTAGCTATCTGCCTGGAGATTGGAAATAGACAAGAGTCCCAGGTAACCTCGGGTGCATGGCGGGGTGGGAGGGTTGTTGGAAGGGGAGAGGGTTAGAGAGAAGGGAGTAGGGGAGGAATGGGGAAAGCTCGGTGGACTGGGATGGGGGGGGAGGGAGGAAGGATGGATATGGGATCAGGGAAGAATATATTTCAACTAAGGGAGTCATTTTAGGGTTTACAGGAGACTTGATTATAAATGGGATCCCAGGTCTAAGGAGAGATCCCCAGATTGTTCTCTGGACAGAGGAGAGGGTGCCTGAAACGGCCTTGGCCCATAACCATACTGATGAATATTTTGCTTATTACCATAGAA